GCTACAACCACCTCGGATGCTGGACGTCAATTACTGGAGGACCTATTTCTGTGCCACAAGCAGGCAGTAAGTTTATTCCATTTTATTGAATTTACAAAAGTTTCTTATGTATTGCAGAATTTGGACAGAATCTATTCTAAGCCTAATCGACAATGTCTGTTTTATTTAGGCAGGCAATTCTTTATTTAAATTTTTCTCATCCTTTATTTGGAGCTGTGACCTCTGAAGGTGTTCCCCCTTTATGCTTACTGGAGTCGATAATTTGTGTTTGATATGTCCATTGCGTGGATTATTTAATAGTGATTTTGTGAAGCAGTGTTTTCTTTCGTCGGTTTCTCTCGTTAAAGTCCACTCGCTGACAATCGATAGAGTGATTATTTGATTGAATTGCTGAGGATATCAGTTCTTTGGTATTTTTTGATTGTAAATAATTAAGGAAATGTTGGTGTCTGTATACTGTGTTATTGAATTGAGAAGCACAATTTACAATTGGTATATTTGTTAGTTGTTTAATCTGGCCTTTAAGAATGAAATCCACGTGATACTGATTTGAAAAGACAATCTTGACCAATGAACTGGGTGCTCGAGCTTTATTACTTCAATGTCGAAAGCTAAAATGTCATTTGTGGAACACTTTTGAAGTGGTTGAACTTCAGGTTTTAAATACTAATCCACCATGTTATTACTCAAAATGCGGGTGTTATGCTTTTTTGTCTCTTTCACATAAGGCTAGCTGCGCACTACTGTTTTCCTTTAGGAGGAAACAAAACTTATCCAGATGGCTCTCATCGATGTAGCCCTGGATCTCAATGCTCCAGATGTTGATGAACTGATGAAGAGCACCGATCTCTTCACTGCTATCCCCAGATCACTTTTCAAGTAAGTCATATTGCGCATATATTTCACTTCATTTTTGGTGTAATTTATTATTATTTCAAATGGCAGGCTTTATAATATTCATCATTAGCCCTTAAACTTTGACTTCAGCTTCCCCCAAGAAGGATAAAAAAATTTATTTCAAATGGCAGGCTTTATGATATTTACTAGCCCTTAAACTTTGACTTCAGCTTCCCTCAAGGGTGGGTACATTTATAGACTTAATCTTTGACTTCAGCTTCCCCAAGAGGGGGGGGGGGTACATTTATAGCGGTTATTAACAGCAATTCATTAGCTGTCTTCTTGCTTCCCAGTATCTCTGGTTTTCCGAATTTTGACTTCAGCTTCCCCAAGGGTGGGGGGTACATTAGTTCATTAGCCGTCTTCTTGCTTCCCAGTATCTCTGGCTGGTCGTTGTCTTTAGGGCTGGACACCGAATCAGGTGGGTCTATAGTAGCTGTCTTCTTGCTTCCCAGTATCTCTGGCTTTCCGTAGCTGTCTTCTTGCTTCCCAGTATCTTTGGCTTTCCGTAAGCTGTCTTCTTGCTTCCCAGTATCTCTGGGTTTCCGTCGTTGTCTTTAGGGCTGGACACCGAATCAGGTGGGTCTTCTCCTAATTTGTCGAGATTGTATGGCCTATTTCCCTAGTGATCTTACTAACTACTTTGGATGCTTGATTCCTTCGTTACTTTAGTATAGAAATCTCCCTCCCCAATCTCATAACTTTCACACACGATATAAGCGTTACTTCTTAATTTATACCATCATCTATGCCATGTAGATTATTTAGAATTTTACGTAAATCAATAAATTAAATAATGCCTTATTATTTTGCTCCTATGCTGACTGAAAACGGGCGCTTATAATGGATTAGCTTCTTTTGAAAATGCAATTTTGTTGGATTTTCTTATGTTTGTGGTTGGGCGTCGTGACAATCAAATGGTACTGCTCTTATCGTCATCTCTAGTTCTGGCAATTTCCTCCCTATCAAGCTTTCTCTAACGCGTCAAAGAAAAGTTGCCTCTTCCTTTTCCCAACTTGAAGTTTTTTTGCGCAAATATTTTTTTTTACTGGAATTTATCTGCTGCCTTGCGCCGCAGTGGTTTTAGCCTTCTTATGAGTTTGCACTTTTTTCACCTCCCTCCACATCGTGCGGGTTAATGCGGAAAGATCTCCGCAACCTCTTTTGATGACGCGATAACCCCTAATTGCACTGCCTAACCTTACTTTCTCGTAATGACGATTTCATCCCTTCCTACACACTGTCATAGCAACTGACATGGCACTACTTCATTCGTTTAAAGGAGTCATTATTTCAGCTAAGTGCTTCATTGTCCAGTGATTGCAATAAAATATTGATAGATGAACTTTTTCGATCCCTCTTCAATTAGGAAACGTGGGATTTATAAATAAATACTGCGTATATGACTGTATTTAAAATAGGGCGATTGGTGCACATTTCCTTGCACGATTTTAGCACATTGTGCCAACGCAAGCGCTACGACTACCTTCCAGTGATAGAGTTGGCTGTTGCAGTGGCTCAGGCCTCAGCGACAGAAAATTCCAAATCTGCTTCTTCAACAGGCACCACCACAGTGGAGGGTTTGTTGCGTCGTTACGAGAACGCACTAATGCTCTCACACTGTGAAGACGCCTCTTCGGATGCCTCTCTTTTAACTGATGATGATGCCTTGAAGAACTGTCGTCCCATCCTTCTCAATGCCATTCGTGATGCTTCGTAAGTTTCCTTTCTTCTAGCTTGACTTGCTTTCTCTCTGTGCTATCTTGTGCAGTCAAACGACGTCAGATTTGAATAGGTCATCTATGGTCCCTATTACTTTCAACCCAAACACTCATTGCATTCTCTTAGCCAAGCCAGAATTGAACCCACGAAAACTTATTTTATTCATTTTTTGAAATGTGCTTGGCAAAGCTGTTACAGTAGAAGTTGATTGGTTTCAACAAGTTTGACGACTTGACTAGAAATTACTTGATAAATGTCTAAGTTTGTGCTTGAGAGAAATTTGATATTCTTCAAGATAATACT